AAAAAAAAAAACTGATATAGGTAACGTGCTCAGGGTGTGAGTTTTCTGAAGTTGTGAAAGGCATAAATTCCTCCTGAAATTATTCCCACTTTCCCCCAATGTGACTATATCTGGAGACAGAGCCTTTAAGGAGGCAATTAAGGTTGAATTAGGTCATCAGGGTGTAGCGCTAATCTGATAGGAACAGCATCCTTATTAGAAGCAGAAGAGACACCAACTTGCTTGCTCCCACTGTGTGCACAGAAAAAAAGCCATGTGAGGCTACAGCAAGAAGGTGCCGTCTACAAGCTGAAGAGACAGGGCTCACCAGAAACCAACCCTGCTGGCACCTTCCCCTTGGCCTTACAGACTCCAGAAGGGTCAGAAAACAAATTTCGGTTATTTAGGTCACCCAGACTGTGGTGTTTTGTTATAGCAGTCCAGGCAGACTAACAGAGAGTCCGAAGAGAAAAGAGATTTCACTGAAATTTTAATAAATAGCCCTGAAAAAAGGCATGACAACAGAGCAGAAAGAAGAATGACAAGAAAACCAAAGAAAGGGGCGCCTGGGTGGCTCAGTTGGTTAAGCGACTGCCTTCGGCTCAGGTCATGATCCCAGGGTCCTGGGATCGAGTCCTGCATCAGGCTCCCTGCTCTGCAGGGAGCCTGCTTCTCCCTCTCCCACTCCCCCTGCTTGTGTTCCCTCTCTCGCTGTGTCTCTCTCTGTCAAATAAATAAATAAAATCTTTAACAAAAAAAAAAAAAAGAAAGAAAACCAAAGAAAGAAGAACTGGTTCACAAAGAAGATCCTGGATAAGGAAGGTAGTCTGCAAAATAAATAAAAGATTTTAAAATAAAATTATATGCATATATGAGGATTATACTCTCTACAGAAAAAAAAAAACAATGAATATTAAAAACCATAATATGGGGCACCTGGGTGGCTCAGTAGTTAAGCGTCTGCCTTCAGTTCAGGTCATTATCTCAGGGTTCTGGGATCAAGCCCCACATCAGGCTTCCTGCTCAGCAGGGAGTCTGTTTCTCCCTCTCCCACTCCCCCTGCTTGTGTTCCCTCTCTCACTGTGTCTCTCTCTGTCAAATAAATAAATAAAATCTTTAAAAACAAAACAAAAAGAAACCATAATCTAAGAAACTGCCCAAAAGAGGACCTCATCTACACAGGATAAAGAACCACCATGAACCTGGGCAAAGCTGACCTGGAACAGTCTTCTCTAAGGAACACTTTAATAAAACTACTAGACCTTAAAAATGAAACATCCTCTGGGCAAAAAGACTAAATCTCAATAAACAAAAATGTAGATTTGGCAATAGATTCTGTCACCAATAAACAAAGCGAGGCTCAGTGGAGGAACATTTTCAAGTTAAAAAAAAAAGTGGGAATAAAGGATTTGATAGGGAACACTGGCAGAAAAACTGAGCAGTGGATAATTTAATTGTAGGCCTAAGACCAAAAGAAAGTTGAGAACAAGAATAGAAGAATATATAAATGTTAGAGGCGCCTGGGTGGCTCAGTTGGTTAAGCGTCTACCTTCGGCTCAGGTCATGATCTCAAGGTCCTAGGATCAAGCCCTGAATCGGGCTCCCTGCTCAGCAGGGAGTCTGCCTCTCCCTCTCCCTCTGCACCACCCCCTACTCATGCTCTCTTTCCTCTCACGTTCTTGCTCTCAAATAAATAAGATCTTTAAATACATACATACATATGTGTGTGTGTGTATATATATATATATAAATGCTATATATTCTAGTGAAGTAGAAATGATGCAATTAGAAGACCTATAGGAAACAGGAATGAAAAGAAGAAATAAGAATAAGCTCAGAGATAGCCATATAAATAATAGCCTAAAGAATGTCACTAAAAGCTAAAAAATCAAATAGAGAGTTAAATAAGGAAATGGGCAAACTAAGGCCAGTATAAAAGATATTAGTGTAAAAGTAACTATGAGAACAAAAACATGAAAATTTCCTAATTGACTCCCTCCAAAAAGAAAAAAAGACCAAATAGAATAATTCAGTAAATGTGATACACTCATTAAATGTAACAAAATGACAGAAATGAGACCAAACATGAATCATATTAATAAATATGAATGGGTTTACTTCATCAATTAACAAAATGACTTCAAACTGTGTCACAAGCAAAATCCAAATTGATGCTGTAAAAGGGAAATATAATGATAAAAACGGACTCAAAAAAGCTAAAATCAAAGGGATGGACCATATTATTCCAGACAAAGGGAAACAATAAGGAAGCAGAGATGCAATCTTGTTATCAGTAAGGACAAAAAAAAAAAAAAAAAAACCCACTTTACAAGGCTAAAATCCTCAACTTTGAATGCGAAAATCACGGTTATGAATATCTAGAGTCCAAAAACCCT